ACAGTCAGCTCCTCACCTTGTTAGTGGAAGATATTGAGCTTCTCCACCATTACCTTTTTTCCACAGATGTAGTAGATCTGATTGCTCTGCATTCTATCTGGTGACGTCCACATGTATAGCGACCATTTATAGTGTTGAAGTCAGGTATTTACAATGAATAAGTCATTAACTAACTGCCATCCAGTCAGATCCGACTCATAGTGACCCCTCCTTGGGTTTCTACGGTGGTATCACTATGAAAGTAGATTGCTCAACCTTCCCTCTGAGAAGTGGCTGGTTGGCTTGAACTGCCAGCCTTCTGGTTAGCAGTCAAATGCCAGAGCTCCTGAATAAGTCGTTAGATTGCAAAATTCTATCATGTGATCTCCAGCGTCCTTTCTATCACCAAGGCTGTATTTTCCAACTACTGGTGATTCTTCTTTGTTTACAACTTTTGTATTCTAATTTCCAGTGATAATCAACACATCTTGATTGCATGTTTGGTCAATTTCAGGCTGCAGAAGTTGGTAAAAATGTACAATTACCTCTTTTTTGGCACTGGTGGTTGGTATGTATATTTGAATAATAGTAGTATTAACTAGTATTCCTTGTAGTCGTACTGACAGCACTGTACTTCAGGATAGATCTTGAAACATTCTTTGTGCCATCCCTCTTCAATTTGTCATTTGTGGCATAACAGATCATATGGTCATGTGATTCAAAATGGCCAAAACCAGTCCATTTCAGCTCACTAATACCTAGGATATTTATCTTTAGGCATTCTATTTCATTTTTTACAACTTCCAATTTTCCAAGATTCATACTTCATACATTACAAGTTCCCATTATTAACGGATGTTTGTAGCTGTCTCTTCTCATTTTGAGTCATGCCACATCAGCAAACAGAGGTCATGAATGCTTTACTCCATCCATGTCATTAAGGTCAGCTCTCTTCTCAGAGGCAGCTCTTCCCTACTCGTATTTTGAGTGCCTTCCAACCTGAGGTGCTCATCTTCCGGCACTATATCAGACAATGTTTCAGGACTATTCATAACGTTTTTCAGTAATATATCAGACAGTGTTTCACTGCTATTCCTAAGGTTTTCACTAGCCAATTCTGTGAGAAATGGATGGCCTCTTCCTTCTTCCAAGTCTGTCTTAGTCTGGAAACTCTGCTGAAACCTGTCCACCCTGGGTGACCCTGCTGGTATTGGAAATACCGGTGGCATAGCCTCCAGCCTTACAACAACATACAAACCACCACAGTATGACAAACTGACAGATGAGTGGTGGATTTACATCACAGACATCAACAAATACCAGAAATCAAGATTTTTTTTCTTTTTTCACAAAGTCAGATGTTAAACTCTTAAGTCTCTTATATTCTATAACAGCCCTCCTTCTGTTTTTCTTTCATAAAATTATTTGTGGGAGAAACTACATCATTTGCACTATAGAATGTCACACATTCTGGATTTAAATATTATTTCTTACTGTTTCCCTACACAATGCTCTGTAGTCAGGCAGACTTGGGGTCACAACCCACGAATATCAGGAGTTGTATCTACCTGGGTGCCAAAGGGGCAAGGAGGCCGCATCTTCTGACCTCCTCTAATCCCACAAGAGGAAGACAGAATCACCATCAATAGCCTACTCTTGTGAAGCCAGACACGCTGCCTCCCTCCAGCCCTTTCATCAACTGTTCCTCCTGAAGCACCCACCACCTCTTTGCTGGGTTTGATAATTTGCTGCAGTGGCCACACAGAACTCACAGATTATGTGGTTTCTTAGGGAAGAAACAGGCTACAGGTAAAGTTAAGGAACATGCTCAGTCTCTCTCAACCCACTGTCTCTCAGCCAACAGTCTCCCTCCTACAGCAGTGTGTGTCTCTTGTCTCTCTCAGAAATGCATGTCTCTTGCATCTCTCTCTCTCAGGAATACACGTCTCTCAGGAGCACATTTCTCTCAGCAGCATGTCATTCTGAGCCACCAGACAGAGAGACTCCCTCTGCCTCTAGAAGCACTCCTTTTTGAGCCTGGCAGAGTGGCCAAACTAACCAATCCCAACATCACAATTCTATACACCTGAGAGAGAGCGAACTTCCCAAAAAATTACTTGCTGCTACATTCAACAGAAATACCCCAGGTGGATAACTTTAACAATCAGGAGCCACTCAGTTGCTCATGGCAAATTCCACCACGAAGTTTACGAAGATTTATGGCTAGAAAAGCCATACCAGGTAATTTACTACACTGCAGGCCACCCCCTGGCTTTCTAGCCATTATCCCTTTTCTACTTCAAAAATTCACATCCCCTTCACCATCAGTTTAAGAATAACCACACCCATGAAAGCGTGTAAGCAAGCCACTTCATGTCTTTATCTTCCCCCATTTTAGATAGCCAATTTCTAATTTGCCCATCCCTATCAAACCAGTACTCTGAGGATACAAGCATATTCTTTTATCTGGAGAAACATCTGTTCTGCTTGGAAACTTCAGGCATGTGGATCCATAAACAAGCAAAGTCCAGCCCAGCACAAGCCATCAAATTGCAGCAACTTAACACCAGTTCAGTGTCAAACATCTTCCTCTTCATTTGGTCGGGTTCTGGTCAGCTCAGCCCTAGCCATCCCAGCTAGGTCATGGGTACCAGCTGCCAAGTTTGGGAGTCACACACTTCCCTTCATTTTATACCAGCCAGCACCTTCTCTCACATTCTCAGTCCTCAGGTACTATTTCAATGCCCATAGGCTAACAACTCAGTGTACTTCAGACCAGCGAGCTCTTCCTCTCATCCCTTGTCTCCATTGCCTGGGTCAGAGTACCAAACTCAGCCCATTTCTTCTTTGCTGCACTTCCCCCATTTCTACTCAAGCGGACCCAAGTAGCACACAAGCCTGCTACTCTCTGGCTTCCATTAACTTTCAGTCCTAGAAGGGGTTTCTCTAATGGACCATGAATTTCCTGCCTCAATGCACCCAAAGCCTATTTGCTTGCCTGAAATTAAAAAAAGTCAAGCAGTCTTTTTTTTTTTTTTTAATAGGTCCTGTCATATGCAGATCTTCTGTTCAATTAGTAGTTCTGCTTGGGGCTCAGGTTTTCTACTTTAGCCCCTAATATTGTACATACAGGGCTTGAAACAAAAGCCTGTGTTTCTGCTGGGCAAATTCTATTTCCCCTTTAACATATCCAATCAAGTATGAGCTGTAGGCAGACTTAATTGCTCTCTGTTATCCATACCCCATCATCATTTCCAATGTAAAAGCAGGTAAGAGAACATTCAATACCCACAGTACATTCACATAAACACATAATCCAAAACACATAATCCGTTTTAAGATATTCCACTTTCCTCTCTTCACCTTGATTACGATCCCATTCTATGCATATGGCCTTGGGCCTTTGGCTGGGTGTAACCAAAAGCCCTAGCCTCTGGATCAATGATCTCCTTTAAGAGGTAACACCAACCAAAGTACCCATCTAAGAATCCAAAGTTTCACTTCCCAGTCTCCTTCCTTTTTTCTTTTACAAAGTCCCGTGCTTCTATGAGTCTAGAGCCACTGCAACAAATCCCACCACATCTGACACCAACTACCAAAGAGGCAAGGAGGCTGCATCTTCTGACCTCCTCTAATCCCACAAGAGGAAGATAGAATCACCATTAATAGCCCAAGGCCTATCTTGTGAGGCACATTGCCTCCCTCTAGCCTTTTTATCAACCGTTCCTCCTGCAGCAACCACCACTTCTCTGCTGGGTTCGATAATTCGCTGCAGTAGCCACATAGAACTCACAGATTATGGGGTTTATTAGGGAAGAAACAGACTACAATTGAAGTTAAGGAACATGCTCAGTCTCCCTCAGTCTGCTGTCTCTTAACCAACCATCTCTCTGAGTCCCTCCCAAGCAGTGTATATCTCTCTATGTCTCTCTCAGCAATGCATGTCCCTCAAGAGCGCATTTCTCTCAGGAGCACATCTTTCTCAGCCAGCAGTCAGAGAGACTCCCTCTGCCTCAAGAAGCGCTCCTTTTTTAAGCCTGGCAGAGTGGCCAAACTAACCAACCCCAACATCAGAATTCTATACACCTAGAGAGACTGAACTTCCCAGAAAATTACTTGGTGCTACACTCAACAGAAGTACCCCAGGTAGATAATTTTAACAAACAGGAGACACTCAGTTGCTCATGGCAAATTCCACCACGAAGTTTACAAAGACTTATGGCTAGAAAAGTCACACTATGTAATTTACTATACTGCACTGGGCAAGTCACAACCTCTCATTTTCAGCCTCATCCTTTGTAAACTAGAGATAATGCCGATATTGTAGGGGTACATATATTAAAGTATATGGAACAGAGCATGCATTCAAAACTGCATACTAGTATTATTTAGCCAAAACAGTCTTACAATTGCTGTTACAAACTAACTTGAGCCACCTAACTGGATATGAAGTAGCCCTCTTCTGATTAACCATAACATTTTGCTTCTACATTCCTTACGTCCCTTACTATACTACCATCCCATTATTTTACAATTATTTGTGAATTAATCTTATTCTCTCTGAATAAAATGTAAGCTTTTCGAGAGTAGTAAACACATCTTACTCACCGTGTATTCCTTACAAATTTCTAACACTTAAGTTACTCATAACAGACACTGTTGGATTGTATTTTGAATATCCCTTCTTAAGCAGGCTTTTAGAAACAGAAGAAAGGTTGATTCACAACCACTTAATCCAATCTCTAGGATGAATAATGAGATCCATTGAATAAATATCTAAAAACTTCTTTACAAGTGTATATGGCTGATATACCTGTACATTTTCCCAGATACTAATACAGAACATGTTATATGACATCAACAGAGTAAAGGTTATGTAAACATAAATCTTGTTTCATTACAATTAAAATTTATTTTTTTACAATTATAATTAAATTTAGTACTCTCATCCAGTTTACATTACCAATTTCAACAGCTTGTGCAGCAATTTGTGTTAGTAAAAACAATAAAGTTATACCTACACTGGTTACTTTCCGGTATATTTGAGCTGCATTCTGGCACTCAGAATAAGGGTACTCCGAAGTAGCCATTTCCAACATACACATTCCAAAAGCATAGACATCAACAGATTCATCATAGTGTTCTTCATACATCTCTGGGGCCATAAATTCAGGAGTTCCTACAAAATAACAATGCAACACATTTTTATTAAAGAGAAAAATGTATCCACCAAGATCACATTCCCTTCACAGTAAAGATTACCTGAGTTAATTTTTTTGGTTTGAAAAGCAAATTTGTAAATGTGAAATTTGTTTAATGATTGCTTTATCTCTATAAAGCACTTACAGTAATTCCTTACTTTCCCTACTGATAAATTATCATTTATAATGGTCAAGATTACTAAAACCTTTTTAGTTATTCAGATTTTTCCAAATTAATTACCAAACCATCTTCCTGAAATCCTCAGGACATTTCATTAACCCCCCACACACACACATGCATACATATCTCACAAAATAATTACACTAGATGGCTCTGAAATAAGTCAATGTGTAATAGATATTTAAAAGCAAAGTCATATTCTAGGCTAGGGGTCAGCAAATCCTCTCCATAAAAGATCAGAAAGTAAATATTTTAGACTCTGCAAACTATATGGTCTCTGATACAACTATTCAACTCAACCACTGTAGTGCAAATGTGGCCATAGACAATATGTAAAATAATGGGTGCAACTGTTTTCCAATAAAACTTTATCTACAAAAAAATGTGGTAGGCCAGATATAAGAATTTATCCCTCTTCTAGACCTATAGAATTAACAAATTTCCCTTCAAACAACCAATAAACAATAAAGTGTTAATTACCAATAACACTTTTGGCAAATGATGTACGCATTAATGTGGCTAGTCCTAGATCACCAATCTTCACAGATCCAGTAGGTCCCGTAATGAAAATATTGTCACATTTCAGATCCCGATGAATAATAGGAGGAGTCCTAGTGTGCAAGAAATGCAACCCCTTTAATATTTGTCTGCACCAGCTCCTTAAGACCTTTGGTTTCATGACTTTAAATCGTTTTAAGTACCTACACAAAGAAACAAACAAACAAACAAACAAACAAACAAAAAACACAGGTAAATTAACATGTATACCTAGCTTGCTGTAAATCGAAAAAGTTAGGTGATATTGTTTTTACTATAATTGCCTTCACAGAGTTACATACTATTATCTCTTAGAGAAAAAAAAATTTAATGTAAGACATCATTTTTAGATAAGACATCTCACCAAGCTTCACATTTTTAATTCAAAACAAGAATTACAGGTAGTCCCCAACTTAAAACATATTCTACTCACCACAAACAACATTTAAGACTGTCAGTATATCTGGAACATTGCATCGTCCTGGGAAGAATTTACGGGAAAATGCATGCAGGAGATATGAAAAAATCGCTGAGTTATGTGAACACACTCCAAACATCTGGTTTAGGATAAAATGATGGAAGATATTGGTGGAAAAAGTGTCCACATGGCAAGAACACTAAATTCAGAACTTGATATTACTGATCAGGACTTAATATATTTTGAAAGGAGAAAGAAATGCAGAAGAAGAAAGAAATAATGAAAAAGAGGAAGGAGAAAAGTTGTCAAAAAAAAAAAAAAACTTACAGTGAAAGGATTGTTGTTGTTATGTGCCGTCGAGTCAGACCCAACTCATAGTGACCCCTCCTTGGGTTTCCACCAAGGCAGTATCACTACAGAAGTAGATTGCCCCATCTTCCTTCCGAGGAATGACTGGTGGGTTTGAACTGCCAGCCTTCTGGTTAGCAGTCAAGTGCCTTAGGCACTATGCTACCAGAGCTCCCAATGAAAGGATTCACTGGAAATTTTAAACTAAATTAGGGGTTTGGGTACTTGACAACAGACTCAAACACCAATCACTATGCTGAAGTCGACAGGCAGATTTAAGGAGTGAGGTGTTACAGCAAAATATATGAAGAAAAAAGAAGAAAGTACTATATAGACAACTCTCACTAATATTCTGACTAGAAACACCATTCTCATTCTGAAGGATAATCCAGTTGATCCAGAACCTTCCATAAGTAGAGCTATTACTGCAACTGACAAAATGTCAACAACATTCAACTCTTCATTGTTGGACTAAATTTTTATGATTTATGTATTTTATGTACATATTAAAATATACTTTTAAGTTTAATGTTTCCAACCCTCAAAGACAAATAAAGATTGGATTTATAGAGATACTGATAATAAAAAACAATAATAATGAAGACTGAAAAAACATGAGGTCTTCAACTTACATCAGAACTGAGTTATGTATGACTCAGAAGAGAATACCATCTTAAGTAAGGGACTACCTGTACTCTAACTGAAGTGGCCTTCCATGGAATGTCAGCACAATTTCAATAGAAAACCTTAATCTTTCTCTATTCCCTAACAACTACTTACATACAATCATCAGAGGATTAAGCTGTATAAAATTTTAAGGAAAAGATGCTAGAAAATACAAAATTCAAGCCTCATATTTAATATTTATAAGTAAATGATCAAATGACCAAATGACAAACTACAGTTAAGAACAAAATAAAAAACTGTAAATACATAGATTTGTGAACTGGTCAACTCCCTAACTTTTCATTATCTTTTACAAAATGATAATACATTATTTCTATATCATTTATAACTTGAAACTTCCATGATATCCAACAAACACTAATTATTCAACACTGTATTTTCTAAACTTCATTAATATCTTTTTTTTAACGTAGGTAGTCACAAGATTCAGATTCAATAAATTCTTTAATCAAATAATGTTATCTTACAAACAACTTTTGACTCCTGAAAATAATTTGTGAATAAAAACTCAACTGGCACTATATGAGTCAACTTACGTCTTTAAGGTTCCTGACGTCATTAGCTCAGTCACTAATACAATACATTTCTTTCCTTTTAATATAGATTCCCAGGAATCATAAAATCGAACTATATTGGGATGCTGGAGACCCTTTAACATCTCTGCTTCTTCTTTGAATCTTTGCTGCTCAGCTTTGGTTAACTTCCGGTCCTGAAATGGAGGAATAAATTAACAGAAACTTTCATGCATATTCCAAAAATGACTCAAATGAGTGATGTATTTTTATTTATTTATTTTTGCTTGTCAAATATTTTTTCAAGACCTATATAAACACTGACCTAACACCAATGCAGCAATCACTACATTTCATAACCATACTCTAAATGGACCTTAATAATAAACCAATACCTTGAGAAACAATATATCAAAATGAACTGAGAAAAATAATTAAGAGAGATAAAAGAAGAAAGTTTCTCTAAGAAAGCCCGATATTTCCACATTTAAAGAATGTGTACTCAGGGCACAAACAATAAAAAGTGAGATACCCACACATTCACCCTGGTTAAATTTTTGAATTGCCAAAATGAAAAGGACTCCATGTTTAATGAGAAAACACAGATTACCAATCAGTGAAAGAAGTTCAAATAGGCTTTGGACCTGTAATCTGGTATATTAAATTATAGACATCAAAAGAACAATGTTTACAGAATTCTACGTGAGGAGTGTGACCCTAAATTCTAAATTCAGACAAGCTATCAATCAAGTTTCTAAGGGAAAAATACACACATTTCTGTACAAAATGACCATCACACACCTTTTCTATAAATATTACTCAAAGAATTTCAATAAAAATTTGGTAGAATAAAATAGTTCAAGAGAAGGTATGGCAAACAATACCAGTAAGAAATTTACAATAGAGTTCCAGCAAGATGGCGGACTAGGCAGAAAGACTACACAGAC